AATTTATCTTGATTTTACTAGTTACAGTATACTATAATAAATCAGAGTAACACAGTTCAAACGGATATCTTCTTCATTTTTGACTAAGATTAGATACATTAGACGGCCTACAGAATAGTTGAAGGCTGAAATCTTATTCACACACAAGTTCTACTCTGAAATTGAGATACAACACTTATAGTTAACTGATGATAATTTGACTCGATGGCATGTATTCATAATAGTCGTACACGACAGTCAATAAAGGATGTTAGGTAAAAAAACCAATATTAAGTAATCGTTGTTGAAGTTTGGTTTAGAATACTTTATTTTAATTTTTCAAAGCAACTTAAAGATAGTATACCCATCCTATTTCAGAACTTTTTTATCGAAGAAGTATAAGTAGGGATGCACCGATTCCGATTCCAACCAATTCCAATTCTAATTCCAATGCTTTACTAGGAATTAGTGGAGTTTGTTGGAATTAGCTGGAATTGGAATTGAAATCAGCTGGAATCAGAATTGGAATTGGTTTGAAATTGGCTAGAATCGACCTTGAATTAGCTGGAATTGTCCTGAAATTGATAGGATATAACATAGTATTGACTATAATTCGCCATGAACTGATGTCTAATTGATTAAATTTGACACAAAAATTTACTATGAGTTAGTAAAACTGGAATGTTCCAAAAATAAAATACATCCACAATATATTATTATTATTATTATTATTATGATTTTCTGCTATGAAGAAGGTAATTATAATGTGTTTTCTGCTGAAGTATTTCCATGTGATTGAAAATGTTAGTAAAAAGTTCGAATGAATCTAAGACGATATCAGATTTCTATAAAATTATTTTTGTAAACCGCTAGATCATATAATAATTAGTTTTAGTTCATGGGTTTAGGAGAGCCTAATACTAATTTGCTTGAGTAAATTTGTTTCCATATTATATTTCCGTTTTTTATACGTGGAATACATGACTCATCATTTGATTTAGAAATGAGCAATGTGCTTATTTGTCGAACTTAGAAAACATACATAGTACTGCACGAAGAGTTTCTCGATCAATAGAAAAAGATCTTAAAGACGTATATAACTTATATCCAAATCAGCTCCTATGTTATCCGTGCACTATTTTGTAATTCGTTATTGGTTCATCGTAAAGTCTACCATACACTCTTCGGCATTCTGGATTCTTTGCAGTTTTCAGTCTGCTCTTCATTTTATTTATTGATAAAAACATAAAATTACTTATATCGGATGTTTCCCATATATAATATTTTGTTTTAAAAAAGTTGTATTTTTTTCCCAATTTTTTTAAATAAAATATTTTTTTGCTGTTATCTTAAAAGAAAATGGCAAAATATTGCAAAATATTAGCATAGAATCAGAATGTATAAAGAAGGGAAGATTATATTTCTTAATGAATTATTAAGTTTCACTTAATTATATTATATTGCATCCGATAAAAAATAAAGCATGAGAATACCAACTTGACGCATTTATTGTAGAAAAATCTAGCTAAATATTGTGATAAAATAGATAAGAATTGTCAGTAAATATTTAAATATGAATATAAAATATAATTAAAAATAACGACTGATATATTCTGAAGAATATATTAAAAAATATAATTTAAAAGAAAAAGATGGTTCTAATAATCTTTTTTCAACTTAATTATAAGGGATGGAGCAACAAAATAATATAATTTATTTTCTGGATCAAGCAATTAAATAGAAAGTGAAGAGCAATATTCTTCTATTAAAATCGCTGGAGTTTTAAAAAAACTTGTTAGAGCAGCCTCTTTGGAACTGAAATGTGAAACTCACGTATGTTCTTCAGCTTCATTGTACTAACATGAAACATAGACAGTGTAAAATCCAGAATTCTTTGATTTTTTAATTTTATGACAGGCACCCTTTTTTTTTCATTTTTTATTGCTATTGTTCGCTCAGCATTTTCCATTTTTGCAAACCTTTTATCTTAATTTAACATTTTTGTTATTGTAAACATTAAATTAGATGACAATGGACACTGATATATATATATATATATATATATATATATATGCATATATCTATTATTTAATCCTTGTTGCAAAGACCTGTAATGGTGAAATGTCCGTAATAGAGTGGTATGTCTATAATGGGGCGGAGAGGAAGAAAGAGCCGTGAAACTTAAGTTTAAAACTCACACTCACTATTTTCTTCGAAAATTGATGTGAGTTCCACAAAATAAAAAAAATCATAGTTTTTGAACTTATTTCGGAAACAATAACGAGAAAAATATCTAAAATAATTGCATCTAATTTTAAAAAGTTTTCAAACGAACAATTCTGAATCACAGAAGAAATTTTCTATATCGTTAATTCATTAATATATTATATGCTATGCATAAGAAAAACCTTTATAAATATATATATATATATATATATATATATATCTGCTATCGCCATTTCTACTATTTAACGAACTCTCCATTGGAGAAAAAACACATATAAGGTGTACTAAAGTGTTACTAGCAACACGTTTTAATGCACGTACATGATGAGCCATATCTCGGGTACTAATGCACACTGACTTGATATGTATGAATAAGCAGTGCACAAACTGGTATTTAATGCCATGTTCCTGTAATTTCTATAATTTGATTGATTTATTTATTTTTCACAAGGATCTATGATATTTATGGATGGGTTTTACTCCTAAATTACATTTGATTTCGATACTATTACATTTCAATTTTCTAATACATTCGATGAAATAGCTATATACTAGCATTCTGATCTCTTACAATATATTCTATTTCAATAAAGATAATAATGACTTGAACAGAACCTTTATAAACTAATAAAATTTTTTTCCATAGGTTTTCAAACTTATTTTAGCAGAAGTTTAAGCATGCAGTTAGTAACACTTGATACTTAGCCAAATTTTATCTGTCTTCTTAAAAGATTATTTAGTCATTGAGATATATTTAGAAGAAAATATTTCATGTATACTTTTAGAAAAGAAAACCATCATAAAATAATCCTAACAATAATTTCTAGATTTATTATTTTTTTTTTGCAAGTCCCAATAGAACTGGTAATCAGATGTGTTGAATTTAAGCGACGGTTTTCTGTAACTTTAGTCAATTTCAAACCATTGCTTGGCAAATTCCAGTAAATACCAGACCGACTCTAGCAAAGTGCCTGCAGCATCAGACTAATAAAGAAGGAATCCGAACTGTTCCCTCGACTTTCGACTCATGCCAATTAGCTATCGAAGCTGACCAATGACTATCTCACTAGATTTTCGGTATCAGACAAAAGATTGATCATAAAATTGTAAGATAGCATTCTAACTTGACACTTTACCTTGAAAAAGGTATCATGGTCATTAGAACGTTCTGAAAACTCCAGTCACAACGGGTGCTTTATGCTTTAGATACTGGATGTCTAAAAAACTAGCACATATTCCAAATCAGTCACAAATTCGCCGTTTTGAAAATTCAGTATCTTAAGGGTAAAGCGTTCATAATAATTGAAATTCTTAAGATATTCCAAAACCTATGATAGGTCTTTATAGGTAAAGTTTCAGGTTAAAATATTATTTTTCAATTTAATGATCATTCCCTTGTCTGAGAACGGAAATTCACTGAGGTGGTCATAAATCTGCCTCGATATTCTATGAGAACGAGTCATTTTACACTTTGGCTAGTGGCTCTGAGATTTTCTTCTCGGCAAAGCATCAGTTGAAAGTCGGGAGAACAGTTCAGATATCTTCCTAGTAATTTCAGTCCGATTGCAGGCAAGTTCCAACCAAATCTAAGCCAAGTCTTCGCCAATTCTAGGTAGATTCTAGCAAATTCTAGACCAATTCTAGCCAATTCCAACAAATTCCGACCAATTCCAAGAATTGGAATTGTTGGAATTGGAATCCGTGCATCCCTAAATTTAACCGAATAAAATTGAATAAATTACATTCAAAAAAATTGAAAAAATAGAGCAACTAAAATATATAATTTCCATATGTTGTTCGCTGAATTTGCAGCTTTCCTTTTCATCTTGCCGTCGGATGTGGTCGGATCCAATAAATTCTCTGGCGTAGGATAATGACGGATCTTGTTATCGGAATCCCACAGAATCCAAGTGCCGAAAACCGTCGGAAATCAATGGATTTTACTGGTTTCCGACAATCGGATACTGGCACTCGGAATGTTTCGGATATTGCAGAGATCCTATCAGACCCTTTTCGGTAGATTCGACCCGGGTATTTTGAAACTAAATTTCTCAGATATTGTTACTAAATCAAAGAAAGCCAAATATGACTACTATACTATCAACTAGTAAGAGGTGATATCTCATGCTCTTTGATGTATTGATTACGAAATCCATCATGATAGTAGTGGTGACTAAGGACTCAGATGATGTGAATTGAATAAAATACATTTTGCTTTCTTAATTGTGTATTATTAAAAAGTTTATTATGATGTATTTTGAAAAGCATTCATTCTAGAAGAAGGATCGATCGTGTTACAATCGACAAAATCAAAATCTATAGCATTCGAGTCATTTCGAACGACAATAGAAATGAATAGTTTAGCATTTTTATCTGGAAGTACAGCTGAAAAACAGGCCTATGCTCGACACTATGCAAATCAATGCAATCAAGATATTGACATTATCGTTGTGCATGGCTTCATTAATTCACCAACAGCTCTTATTCATACAAATGTTCCTGGTTTTAAACAAATTCGATTCGCTGAAGTGCAACGCTTGGGAAATCTATCGCATCTGACATCGCGATTTAACTCTAACGGTGAATTGTGTTTGAATGGTTTAGAAATGAAAAAATATCATTGTCAAAACGATGTTACCTCTGAAATTGGATTATTGGCAATCACAAAATCAAAATCTACTACAGATTCTTCGGCGGCTTCTGTTGCTGTAAAACAGGAATATGAATTATTTTCACTGGCGAATCTTTTCTCTAAAGTTCTATCCGATCTTTCAAATTCTCAGCATTCGTTATCAGCTGATTTACTAGCAGATCGATTTAAAAAATTCTGCCATTGTTATATGGATGGTATCAATCGTTATATATTACCATTACTCAAAAATGAACATACACAAAAACGAGTATCGGAATGGAACTTAACGCAAATTTTTCAAGATTCATTCCATATAATTGGTCCTATTTTTGGTTACCGTTTGCCTAAGAATTTAAAAAGACAATTACAATTAATATTGAATTTTTATGAAAAACATAAACATCTATCAGATGCATCAGTTCTTAAAGACAAAATCGATTATTTGAATTACTGTTTAATAAACGAGATGGACATAGTTCCAGCTATACAAATCAAAAATTTCTGGCCAAATGATGTACAATGGTTTCTTGATCGTTTGAATAGAAATCATCCATGTTTATATAAAAAATTAATACCGAATGCATCAATGCATCTCATAGCGAAATGGTCTAAAAAAACTCCAGATGGAGATGGAGATCTTGAGTTTCGTTACTCATTTTCAACTCTTGAACGTCTTTTTGCCCAAGAACGTACTGAGAATGAGAAAATTCTAAATGGTACTGCTCGATCAATTTATTATCGTTATTTGAAAACAGAACCTAATTTGATTCCATCTTATTTTGTTAAAACTACAGTATTATGGATGTGTGAAGAAAAATCTGCTTTAATCAATAATATTACTGGAGAGACTACTGAATATGTAGCAGAACAACTTGCTTATGAATGGATCAAATATGCACGAGAACGATTACAAGAAGGCAAATGTTCACATTATTTTATTGAAAATCTTAATTTACTTGAACCTTGTAAGCGAGAATATCTAAATGAAGCATGTGAAATTCTTGCATATAGAATCAATTTAAAAGAAATGGTTCAATTCGAATTTATGAAACAACGAAAACAAATGGTTGAAGCGATGAATAGAAAAACTGAAGAATTTCTACGACAAATCAAAGTTACTGATTTGGTGCAAGTATTAACTAATTATCTTCAAATGGAACAATTATGGTATTCAAATAATGATAATAACACTCATAAAGATAATGCTTTACAATCGTGTTTCACAATATTGAATAAGTTAGGTTATGCAGACAATACTGAAAATAATTGGATTAAATTTCTTAAACTGATAATTAAAAATGAAGAAAATATCGATGAAGAACAACAATACAAATCGCCAATCTGGAACGAAAATGTCACCCCATTAAATCCATCAGATATTGCTGAAAACTTACTTCCCATTCCGTATTTACTGAAAATCACATACGAACAAGTGAATCGTGAGGATCTTAACGATATACGATGTCACGAATACGATGCATTTGACATTGCAAGTTTTCAAAATGTTTTAAACGATCTTTCCAATCCATCTACTATAATGCATAGTGTAATAGCAACCCATGGTCCATTATGTACTAGTTCTCTATTTGGTAATGATGTAAATCGCATGGAGCATGTTTTAAAATCATTTTTTCAACGAACATTAATTCAGAATCAGGGCGATGGACCACAACCAAATTTACAATCGGAAAACTGTGAGTATAATATTTACATATCGAGAGAGCTTAAAAATCAACTTTTTTTGCGTCGGACGGATCGAGCTGAAATTTTAGGATATGAATTATGACTAATACTTACACATCTCGTGAAAGTTTCATCTTCATACATATAAAGGTTGCAGAGATATTTGTTTTTATTGTTAGGGGCCTTAATTATAAAAACAAATACCTCTGCAACCTTTATATGTATGAAGATGAAACTTTCACGACATGTGTAAGTATTAGTCATAATTCATATCCTAAAATTTCAGCCCGATCCGGTCGACGCAAAAAAAGTTGATTTTTAAGCTCTCTCTATATGAAAATGAGAATAATGTTACAAGAAGAATATGTGACTTGCCTCCCTATTTTGCTCATGAGTAGAGTTTACTAAAGCTAAAAGGAGCCCAAAGCAATTCATATTTATAGTCTATCTAAACAAATGTATGATCATCTCATTAATAAAAAAAAGTTTTGATGAATGTTTAGTTTTACCTTAGTATGTGCATTTCATTTTTTAAAAATATATCGATATTGATCAATGATTTTCCATAAAAATAGTTCAAAC